CTAATCCATGCTTTTGGAAAACCATCCTTCGGATTCTTAGGGATGTTCTGGTGGATACCATTATTCTTTCTCAAGACTCCTAGAGGAATACTTGCTCGACTGCTTCTCCCAGTGTCCTCACGGTTTACTCCATCAAGAACAGCTAGTCTTTCTATCACATTGCACCTAGGTCTTCTCTGTGTCCGATACCTTATGCTTCCCCACAACATTTCTCACCAGCTGACATGACTCTCTTAATTAACATGATGAATCTGAGTAGTCCTGTTTGAATAGTGTGACTGCCTGGTCACACCTATTTCCTTTTCTTGTGAAAGAGTCTCCTGCAGCCCAGTCCAGCTGGTCAGTTAGACTTAAGCTTCATGAAGAAAACAATTTAACCTGGATTATCTACCACATGCCATATAGAAGCATCCCATAATTAAATTAAGTGAGCTAATAGATTGATTTCAGATCTTCTGCATATAATAAATGCATCTGCTCAGCTAATAGTCAAATATATTATTGTGTAAATAAAGCAAAATATTTTTTGTAGATACAAACTTCTAAATTGGTGGTATGGAAGCAGTGCTACCAGAGAAATTTATCTACTTTTATTGTATCTAGAAATGTGAAACTGGGCATTGATCTTTTTTGTTGGTTTTTTTGTTGCTGTTGTTGTTCTGTTTTGGTTTTTTGGTTTTTCCAGACAGGGTTTCTCTGTGTAACCCTGACTGCCATGGTACTCCATCTGTAGACCACCAGGCTTGCCTCTGCCTCCCGAGTGCTGGGATTAAAGGCATGCACCACCACAGCCTGGCAAGTACTGGTCTTTATAATTTGTATTTTATAAATTCACACTTACTTCTGCATTTTCTAATCCCTTTTAAAGTTTCCCTTTTGATAACTTAAAGTACCCCTTTACAAATCTCCTAAAGGCTTTTTCATTAGAGTTAAAGAATAGGCTCTTAATAGGATATAGACTTACAAAGTCAACACTGTTTTCTTCTTTTTTTTAACCCAGACTGACATTACTTTTTAAATGTTTTTGTTTTCAGTTTATAAGTAATTTCTATACCTATAAATGGAATACAGTATGCTAATTCAGTATGCATATAAATTAGTAATAGCTACTAGCTCACATGGATAGTGTGACTAGGAGGACTAGTTCGACAGAGAAATTAAACTATTTCCTCAGGGCCACACAACCAATTAAGTTTTACACTGTAAATTACACTCTAAATTAAAATAACCTCAACTCTAGAACCCAGTGTTCATAACTGTAGTTTCGTTGCCTTTGGAACTAGCCAGGTCTAATTATTCCTTTGTTCTCATTTGTTATCTCTTATAGTAAATCTATGAAAGGTTTGAACATTCTATTTTTGGTGGTCTGGGGGCTGCAAGGTTTACTTCATTCATCTAAACACAGATATAAATTAATTATTCTATAAACATAATAAAAGCTATATACAGTAAACCAACAGCCAACATCAAACTAAATGGACAGAAACTCAACACAATTCCTCTAAAATCAGGAACAAAACAAGGCTGTCCACTCTCTCCATACCTTTTCAACATGGTACTTGAAGTTCTAGCTATTGCCATACGACAACAAAGGGGGATCAAGGGGATACAAATTGGGAAGGAAGAGGTCAAACTTTCACTGTTTACAGACGATATGATAGTTTACATCAATGACCCAAAGAACTCTACCAGGGAACTCTTACAGCTGATTAACACCTTCAGCAAAGTGGCAGGCTACAAGATCAACTCAAGAAAATCAGTAGCCCTACTATATACAGATGATAAAAGGGCTGAAAGAGAAATCAGAGAAGCATCACCCTTTACAATTGCCACAAACAACATAAAATACCTTGGGGTAACGTTAACCAAACAAGTGAAAGACCTGTATCGTAAGAACTTTGAATCTTTAAAGAAAGAAATTAAAGAAGCCCTCAAAAAATGGAAAGATCTCCCATGCTCTTGGATAGGTAGGATCAATGTAGTAAAAATGGCAATCCTGCCAAAAGCAATCTACAGATTCAATGCAATCCCCATTAAAATCCCAGCACAATTCTTCACAGACCTTGAAAGAACAATAATCAATTTTGTATGGAAAAACAAAAGACCCAGGATAGCCAAAACAACCCTGTTCAACAAGGCAACGTCCGGAGGCATCACCATCCCTGACCTCAAGCTCTATTTCAGAGCTATAGTCCTGAAAACAGCTTGGTATTGGCACAAAAATAAACAGGTAGACCAATGGAATCGAATTGAAAACCCGGGTATTAACCCACACACGTACGAACATCTGATCTTTGACAAAGAAGCTAAAAATATACAATGGAATAAAGAAAGCATCTTCAACAAATGGTGCTGGCATAATTGGAGACTGGCATGTAGAAGAATGTGGATCGATCCATGTTTATCGCCATGCACAAAACTTAAGTCCAAATGAATCAAAGACCTCAACATAAATCCAGCCACACTGAACCTCTTAGAAGAGAAAGTGGGTGGTACCCTTGAATGAATCGGTACAGGAGACAGCTTCCTGAACATAACACCAGTAGCACAGACAGTGAGATCAACAATTAATAAATGGGACCTACTGAAATTGAGAAGCTTCTGTAAGGCAAAGGACACAGTCAGCAAGACAAAAAGGCAGCCCACAGAATGGGAAAAAAATATTCACTAATCCCACATCTGACAGAGGGTTGATCTCCAAAATTTACAAAGAACTCAAGAAGCAAGTCTCCAAAACACCAAAGGACCCTATTAAAAAGTGGGCTGCAGAACTAAAAAGAGAGTTTTCAATAGAGGAGTCTAAAATGGCTGAGAGGCACTTGAGAAAGTGCTCAACATCCTTAGCCATCCGGGAAATGCAAATCAAAACAACTCTGAAATACCATCTCACTCCTGTCAGAATGGCTAAAATCAAAAACACCAATGACAATTTATGCTGGAGAGGATGCGGTGAAAGGGGGACACTCCTCCATTGCTGGTGGGAGTGCCAACTGGTTCAGCCACTTTGGAAAGCAGTATGGAGATTCCTCAGAAAAATGGGAATAAACCTACCACAAGACCCAGCAACTCCACTCTTAGGCATATATCCAAAAGATGCCCATTCATACAACAAAGATGTCTGTTCCACTATGTTCATAGCAGCTTTATTTGTAATAGCCAGAACTTGGAAGCAACCTAGATGTCCCTCACCCGAAGAGTGGATAGAGAAAATGTGGTACATCTACACAATGGAGTACTATTCAGCAGAAAAAATAATGGAATCATGAGATTCGCAGGCAAATGGATGACACTAGAAGAAACCATCCTGAGTGAGGTAACCCAGTCACAAAAAGAGAAACAGGGCATGTACTCTCTCATATATGGATTTTAGACATAGATCTGGGGAGTGCCAGCCTACAATCCTATGGCCAGAGAGTCTGGGAAACAGAAACTTCATTTGGTGGCTGATCGAAGAAGAGGCAGACTCCCTTGGTTAAGTACTGAGCTGAACTCAAGAAAGCCAGTAACAGAGAGGGAGGACTGATGATCAAAGGGATTAAGACTGGGCTGGTTTATCCCCCAGAAACAGCTGACCAGACAAAGGTTAACTCTTGAATCCCAGGCATCAGCCTGGGAATCCAGCATGGGACTGATCCAAGACCCCCTGAATCTGGGTGTCAGTGAGGAGGCCTAGGGAATCTATTGAACCTTGGGCAGCAGATCAGTACCCATCCTAAGTATACACACGGACTTTGGACTCCCATAGAACAATGTGAGGTGCACTCTCACCCTGAACTCTTGGGGAAGGGTCTAGGCCCTGCCCTATATGAAATGACAGACTATGGACACCCCCATGGAGGGCCTCACCCTCCCTGGGGGAATGAGGGGATAACGGGGGGAGGGGGTTGGGGGGAGGGCACGGGAGGAGGGGAGGGAATGGGAGAGGGACCTGGAACTGACTTGTGAAGCAACCTCGTTTCTTATCTAAATTTAAACTGGAAAATAAAATATAAAAAAATACAAAAACACAAGAGATAAATACTCAAAATACCAGTTTTCCTAGATAGAGCCCATTCTACTCTGTTAACCTCTTCAGTATATAGTATAAGTCCAAGTAATTTAAATGTCTTTAAAGTTTTCTCGTACTCATTGCCTATTAAATAATATTTCAGGTCATACATTTTATGTTTTCATTTTAAAAAGGTACCTTTTAACATTAAGAAAGCTATATAACCTATGTAAATTTCAACAAAAAAAACTGTAAAAGACATACTGAAAATCAAGAATGCTTATGTACCATTGGTCAGTTCTTTAGCTGTACATTCTTGTGAGGGACATGCACGGTGTGATATGTGCCATCCAATAAGTAATATGTGACTCTTAAAAGTGAACATAAAGCATAGAATGGTGATTTTTACTATTAGAAGATTTTACATACTTTAAAACTTAATGACACCACTTTTAGAATAAGAATAATACCATATAGACCTGGGCCAGCAAACTGTCTCAGCTATACAAGTGCTAGCTGCCAAGTCTGTTGACTGAAGCTCCATCCCCGGAAGCCCCAGGATGGAAGGAGAGATCTGGATCCCGAAGCTGTCCTCTGACCTCCCATGGCCACGCCCTCCACGCCCACACACAAATGAATAAGCTTAGCCAAAAGAATTATTCAAGGATCGCTTGTAAGCAACATTCAGTCTAGGGTATGGCATAGGGGGAGCAAGAGTCAATGGTAGGGAGATTGGGAAGCACACCCTAAAAAACATTACTCAGTGTCCATACTTATTCAGATTCTGGAGACAGTTTCCCTTAAAAAATGTGATCAATGTATAATGCATCAAGAGTTACTGGGCAGAGCACTATAGTATTTAATTTGTTAAGAGGCTGTGGAATATTAATAGTATATAGCTTTTCTTGGATCTGATAGCCATTATAAATACAATATGTGAAAACAAAGGCAGTAAACTTGGACATTTAAATGAAAAAAACGATAATTTTAATTCAACTCTTTCCTCTTCTAGATTGCAGATTTTGGTTTATCAAAATGGCGCATGATGTCACTCTCTCAATCACGAAATAGCAAATCTGCCCCCGAAGGAGGAACGATCATCTATATGCCACCTGAGAACTATGAACCTGGACAGAAATCCAGGGCCAGTGTGAAGCATGATATATACAGGTACTGGGCATTGCTTTTTTAATCAGAAACATAAGATTAATCAGCAAAGATTTTTCCAACTGCATTTTATAATGAGATTTTCTTCTAGTAACTTACAGTGAAAATAAATTAGAGACCACAATGGCTGATATTTTTCAAATTAAATATTTTTGCCTTAAGCAATTTCAACATTGTTTAAAGATATGAAGGTGTATGTTTTGTCCTATGAATATGTAACAATGCTCAAAGGTTTTCAGCGTAAGTTACTTGGGAAAGCATGGGGAAACAGGAGTCCATAACATTTAGTCACATCTGTCTCTTAAATTCATGCTATAGCGCTTACGAACAACTTTTGCTATCTTCAATGAATTAACATAAAAATGAAGATGGTTTTAGTAGTAAATTATATGCCTTGACTAGAAAATTGCATAATCAGTTTATATAACCCTTTTATTAAAAAAAAAGGCTTTTTTACTCCTTTTTTAAATTTGTGGCAACCAGTTTATGTCTGTAAGCACCCAGGACAAGTATCTGTCACATTCATGTCATTTTATGGAGAAGAATATTTCTTCTTCCGTTGTTCCCAAATATCCTTAATTCATTTAAATAAGGTGCCCAGTAAGAAGGAACAGAGGGGATTTGTTTCTGCTACATGAAGTTCAGATGGTTTGAATCTATAAAGACAGACTGGTTTGTGGTTTTTTTCCCCCTGGACTGAGAGATCCTGTGGTTTCTGTCATTGTGTCCGTTTACACGCTGAACTACATACACTGACTAATTTGCAAGTGTTAAACCAACCTTGCATACCTGAGATGAAACCAGCTTGGTTAAGGTGGTTTCTTAATGTGTTTCTGAATTTGATTTGCAAGAGTTTTATTTAGAGTTTATACATATATGTTCATGAAGGAAGGAAACTGGACAATAATTTTCTTTTTCTATCGTGTTCCTATCCAGTGTTGGTATCAGTGCAATGCTGTCTTCATGGCATGAGTTTGGTAGTGTTACTTTCCTTTCCATCTTATGAAACAGTTGCAAGAAGACTGGCCTTACCTCTTTTAAAACCTTGATAGAAAGCCAGGCCTGGTGGTGCACGCCTTTAATCCCAGCATCCAGGAGGTAAAGGCCAGTGTATCTTTGTGAGTTCAAACCAGCTCTTCTACAGAGTAAGTTTCAGGACAGCCAGTGATCCCTAGAGAGAGTCTGTCTAAAAAAAAAAAAAAAAAAGCAAAAAAGCTTGATAGACTTTGATGATGAATCTACCTGGTCCTGAGACATTGCTGTGATATCATTGTGTGTGTGTGTGTGTGTGTGTGTGTTTGTATATGTGTATGTCTTGATTTAATTTTGGTGGTCATATATATCTAAGAATTTACCATGTCTTCTGTATCTTCCAGTTTTTTTAATGAGTTTCCTATGTCCTTCCTGAGTATTTTATTGGAAAAAAAAAAGTAGCCTTCCCTTTTCATCTCTGATTTTATTAATTTGACTCTTCTTCTTTTAGCTATTTAGCTAAAAGTTTGTCCATCTTATTTATGTTTTCAAAGAACCAACTCTTTGATTGATTTTATGTGTAGTTCTCAGGCTGGAAAGATGGCTCAGCTGTTATGGGTAGACTTACAACCAAATATGTATTCTTGTTTTTGTCTCCATTTCAGTGATTTCTGCCCTGATCTTTATTATTACTTGCCATTCAGTGCTTCTGAGTTTGAATTGTTCTTGTGTTTTGTTTTGTTTTTGTTTTTTCCAGACAGGATTTCTCTGTGTAGTCCGGAATTCACTCTGTACCCCAGGCTGGCCTCAAACTCAGAGATCCACCCGCCCCTGCCTCCAAAGTGCAAGGGTTAAAAGGCACGCACAACCACCGTCCAGCTAGGTTGTTCATTTTATTTAGTATCTTTCTGATTTTTAAAGCACTCACAGCTACAAATGTTCCTCTTACCTTGAAGCTGTGCTTTCATTTTCGTTTGATTCTAGGAACTTTAAAATTTCCTCTCTGACTTCTTGAATGACTCACTGGTAATTCAAGAATTTATTCTTCAGTCTCTATGCATCTGTATAGTTTCTGTAGATTTTCTTTCCATGTTTTTATTTATTGTTTTATTGCACTAGGAGCTGAATGGATACAAGAGGTGATGTTGATTCCTTTGTATTTGCTTAGACTTAATTTGTAGCCTAGAATGTGATCTGTTTTAGAGATGGTTTTGGGGGCTGCTTAAAAGAATGTATATTCTGTTTCAATTTGATGGAATATTCAGTACATGTCTTCTCAATCCAATGACCTATGATTGACTTTAACTCTGAGTTTTCTTTATTGGTTTTTAGCTTAGTTGGCATATCTATTGGCTGATTGAAATCACCCATTATTATTGTTTCAAAAATCAAACCTTTTGTGTCCATGAGTCTATTTTATGAAATTGGGAGTGCCAGAGTTTACTGCATATTCATTTACAGCTGTTAGTTCTGTGAATTCATCCTTTCTTCTAACTGCATAGAAGTTAGCTCTATCATCAAAATAACTACTCAGCTGGTTTTTAATAGATTCCTTTATCTTTACCAATAAGGTACGATTCTTAGATACAACATAAAGTAGGATCTTGTTTCTTTTCTTTCCTTTTTTTTTTAAATTGTCTTTGTATTTCCCTCAGGAGGTCATGGCTGGGCATGTAACATAGCGGTAGAGCGCTTGTGTAACAGTCACAAGGCTGTGAATTCGAGCCCTAGGGCTGCATAACAAAGGTCTTGCTGCACAGTTTCAATCTCACTCACTTTCCTTCCCTTCACAATATGAAAAGAGCTTGCTAAGAATATGAGGATAAGATTATGTCACCATGCTACATAAAGACAATTTTCACCTCTAAGAATATTAAAGTGAGAGAGAGAGAGATTTCTTAATCCAGTCAACTCTGCCTCCTTATTGATGAATTACGGCCATTTTCATTGAAGGTTACAATTCACAAGTACTGATTAATTCCTGTACTTTTGCTGGATGTTTTTCTGGTGACTTGGATTATTGTTTGTTCTTTATTTTCTCCCCTTAGTATTAGTATCAGGGATTTGAAAACAGATTAATTTCACTATACTCACATAAATTATGTTTTTATGTTCAAGCTCTATATTCCCTGTAAGGGGGAGGGGGAATGAGAATGATTTTCCTTGGTTTGGGTGGGATTTTCTCTGTAATCTTCACTTTCCTCAAAGATAATGTGCTGGTACCTAATCAAGTTCAGGTATCCTTTTTGAGTATGTAATTCACTTGAAAATACTGCAGAATTTCTATTTTCTACTCATTTATTTCAAATATAAACTAATCAGCTTAACTAGGTGATTTGTAACCAAAAATGTAATTGTTGTCAAAATATTTTCACTATGAAAAGACTGTATTAAAACCAGAAAAAAGTCAGAAAAATGACGCTATATTAGGCAATTTTCTGTTATTGCTCTCAGTTTTTGTGTGAAAAATAGGGACATCAGTTTAAAGGGTATATTTTATCTGGATGTTCAGGATAACTTAGTTATCACAAATATTTATCCTGGTATGTAGCACTAAGCCATTTTAATTAAAATTCAAATTTTAAAACAAAGATTAATTTCCTTTCAGACATACATGAGCATTCACTATCCTCATAGAACATTTTACTACTTTGTCATCTTAAAAAATTGTTTCATTTTTAAATAATGCTTCGCTAGTTTATTGTACAAAGTTTGCTGATGATATATAACTTTTTAACTTAAACAGCTATGCAATTATCATGTGGGAAGTGTTATCAAGAAAACAGCCTTTTGAAGGTACGTATGCTCTTGATTTCCTTATCCCAGAACACATTGTGTTGTTGGTGCACATTCAGAACTATCTAAAGCTCATCAGATTCTAAACATACCTGCCATTCATTTGGTGCACAAACCACACTGTAAAAATGTAGCAGTTTGCCAGCATCTACTACATGCTACAAAACATGCTGGTTAAGGATCAGCTATGAAGAGGCTACTTGGCTTAAGGATCAGAAAAAATCTAAATTCTGGTTCTTTTGGGGTCAAGTCACAAAAATCTCAAGTCCTCATTTTTGTTCTTTGCAAAATGAGATATATTACTGTGTGTGTGTGTGTGTGTGTGTGTGTGTGTGTGTGTGTGAGTGACAGGGTCTTACTATGTAGCCCTGTTATGTAGAATGTAGACCAGGATAGCCTTGAATTCACAGATCTGCCTGCCTCTGCCTCACAAGTGCCAAGATTAAAGGCCTGTGCCATCACACCAGGCTTTATTGCTATTTTCAAGACCCATACTAGCTATAAAGCTGTATGAAAATTTAACTACTATTCCTTCTATAAGTACCAACAAAGGTTGAAAAATAATCTTTGTCATTCCCAGGTTAATATTGGGACTTCTTTTAATTTGTGTTCAACTTGTCCTGTAATGAATGTCCTCAACATTTCAATAGTTAGCAGATAACTTTTATCTCTCATTCGTATTAACTATTACTGCTATCCCTGCCTGGCTCAGCTCTTCTCACATCCCATGAAAGGTGTACAAGTCTGACACGGGCTGGGAGATATGTCCTCTTACAGAAAAGAGTATTATGAATTGGGCTCATATTTTACCATAGCCTCATTTTTATTTGGTTAGTGTAACATCTTTCCAGTTAATAAAATGTATTTGTTTTGACAGAGGTCACCAATCCTTTGCAGATCATGTACAGTGTGTCACAGGGACATCGGCCTGACACCAGTGAAGAGAATTTGCCATTTGACATACCTCATCGAGGTCTCATGATCTCTCTGATACAAAGTGGGTGGGCACAAAACCCAGATGAAAGACCGTCTTTCTTGAGTGAGTAAACAGTTTTAATCTGGGCCTTTGAATTGTAGAAATTGTTAGTATACTATAAATATTCCTTGAAAAACTATCCTATCGTGAGACTGTCGTGTAAATTATTTTGCTCTTGTTACTCGTTGCCCTCATATATAGATAATGGCTTCTAGAAAAGACTTCCTAACCGAAAAGTGAAGTTGTTCGGTAGGTGTAACGCTCTGTTCACGTAGTGCTCACCTGGCCTTGTGCCCGCTCCTCATCCGTGAGCACGGGAGCAGAGAAGCACTGCATTTCAGTTCGACGCTCTTCTAGAGAAAGCACTGACTGAGCAGACGAGTAAATAAGTGCGACCCGACTGTGAAGTCGGTCCTGTCAGGAAGCAAGTGCAGTGATGGACTGAGCGGACGGTGCGGGTGGGCTTTCGGGAGCTTGCGTTTGTGCTGCTGTTTGACGCTTGAAGCAGAGCCCCTCATTCACAGACTAAGGAGAGCAGTCCAGCAAAGAAACATCCAGAGTAAAGATTCTGAGACCAGAAGAAGAAAGTGCTTTGTGTTTTCAAGGAACAAAGACACAGCCATGTAGCTAGAGCATAGTGAACCAAGATGACGGTAAAGATTCCTCAAAGAAGGGAGCCGCTGCTCACCGCTCTCAGACCTGTATCCCTAGGGCAGTGCAAAGCCATTCATTGGCACGGCCTCTTCTGGAAGCAGTGTGATCTAATTTAAGCTTAGGTCAAAACCACTCGTGACTGCTGTATGGGGAAGTGACTAGGGCAGGCCAGAGAAGAACAAAAAAGCAGTTAGGAAACTCCCTCAGTAACTATCTAATTAAGGTGATAATTCTGGTCAGAGAAAAATTACCCAGAATTAAGATACATTTCAGAGGAAGAGCGGATGGCGCCTCAAAATAGAAACAGGAGAAAATCTTAAGACCTCGGTGAGGCAGAGTTCTTAGATTTGAATCCAAAGGATCTAAAAAAGTTTTCACAAATAAATAAACCTGGAGAATAAACTTAAAAAGCTTAGACCTCCGAACTGTAGAGTACCAGGCTGTGGAGCTGGCACAGAGAACGTGCTTGCCATACAGGCCTGGGGACCCGTTTGTATTCCTGCCACCTGTGCTGTTTATCCCGTCTGTCCTGCAGGTATGCGGCCTGCCTATAATTGCAGCACTTGGGAGGTGGAGACGCGGTCCCCAGAACAAGCTGACCAGCTGGAGTAGACGAAATGGAGAGCCCTGGGTGCAAGTGAGAGACCCGGCCTCCGTATGTAACGTGGAGGGCGACCAAGGCCTTTGCCATCACACATGCATACAAGCATGCATACAGTATGCTCACATCACACGTACTCACACATACATACAAGCATGCATACAGTATGCTCACATCACACGTACTCACACATACATACAAGCATGCATACAGTATGCTCACATCACACGTACTCACACATACATACAAGCATGCATACAGTATGCTCACATCACACGTACTCACACATACATACAAGCATGCATACAGTATGCTCACATCACACGTACTCACACATACATACAAGCATGCATACAGTATGCTCACATCACACGTACTCACACATACATACAAGCACGCATGCAGTATGTTCACATCACACGTACTCACACTTGCAAGAATAAATAAAGTACTAAAACGTGAAACGGCAGGACACAGATGGTGAGAATATATTTTCATACCATATACCTATTGAAAAGACTTGTGTCTGGAAATCAAAAGAATTCTGACTAATTCAATAACAGGAAAATAATTTTGAAAATTGTAGGATATTAGAATTTCTTCAATCAAAGACAATATACAATTGGCTAAAAAGCATGTGAAAGGGGTTTCATGTCACTGGGAAATACCAACACTGAGATACCAACCCAAGCCTGTTAAGACAGCTACAATTAAAAAAAAAAGATGGATAATAACATTGGCCCCTAAAATAATGAAATCCTCCAATACTGCTGAGTGTATCATATGGGCATGATTCATGTAGCCAACAAGTAGAAGGAATTACAATTACTGCTACTACCATAATAGAATATAAATGTTTTTATCCAGGGAAGAATCTAGGATTTATGATATAAAATCAAGTGTCACTAACTCACAAGTAATCTAGATTAGGTCACCCTAGATAGAGAATTTAGCCTGGCAGCAAAGACTTAAAATATCCATTTTAGACCTGTGAGGCATTTCTTAGAAATTGTACAAAGGAACAGGAAAATAGATTGCAAGGGAAAGAAATACACGGTGTGGCCTCTTACGTGTAGGAAGGAACCAGCAGGAGTGCTTCAAGGAGGAAGTGGTCAGTCGTGCCTTACTATCAGTCATGAAAGCAAGACTTCAGCTAGCGCGGCAGTGAGAGGTTAAAGTGGGAGCATCTGTTGAACTCGAGTTTGAGGCCAACCTCAGGAATAAATGTTCAAGTCCCTGAATGAAAGATTTTTCTCACACTGGCGTCATTGCTAACCCATACAAACGTAGCTTCATTTGAAAGATTTTGTATTTAATTTTGTGTTATATGTGGACGTGTGAGTACAGGTGCCTGCTGAGACCAGAGGCATTGCATGTCTCTGGAACTGGAGTTGCAGGTAGTTGTAAGCTGCTGGATATGGGTCCTAGGAACCAAACTTGGGTGCAGGAACAGTATGTGCTCTTTTTTTGGGGAGGGGGAAGTTCGAGACAGGGTTTCTGTGTGGCTTTGGAGGCTGTCCTGGAACTAGTTCTTGTAGACCTGGCTGGTCTCCAGCTCACAGAGATCTGCCTGGCTGTGCTGGGATTAAAGGCGTGCACGCTGCCATCGCGGCCACCACCACCCAGCCAGTATGTGCTCTTAACCACTGAGCGTCTCCGCAGCCCCCACATGCGGTGTCAATGGAGACGTGAGAACAGAAGACTGATGCTGATGTGTATAAAGTTAATTAGAGGTGCAGGCAAGGACAGTTCACTTTTACATGTATTCTTTCTATTCTTATTTTTCCCTCCCTTCCTTTTCCCTCCCTCCCTCTTCCCGTGTGTGTGTGTGTGTGTGTGTGTGTCTGTGTGTGTCTGTGTGTGTGTCTGTATGTGTGTGTACAATCATAATCCATTAGTTATTAGTAATCACTGGGCAGCTTTCAAGATTTGGTTCTTTCCTTCCACCATGGTGATGGGGGTCAAACTAAAGCAGTTAGATTTGCACAGCGAGTACTTTTACTCACTGAGCTATCTTGCTGGCCCAACCTGTAAGAATTCTTTTTTTTTTTCCTGTAAGAATTCTTAATGTATGTCAGATAAAAGTCCATTTCTCCTACCCCTATTCTGTGGCTTTTCTTTTCTTTTTTTCTTAAAAGTGACTTTTCTCTAGAGTACAAATTTCAGAATTGTTTTTGGAAGTCCAGTTGTCAGGTTTTTATGAATCTTTTTGATATCATGTCTAAGAAATTTCCCTGGCTCAAGGTTTTGAACATTTTCTCCTGTTTATATTTAAGTGAATGATCTATTTTGAGCTAATTTTTATGTATGGTATTTGGTAAGGATGGAAATGACCTGGTTTTTTTTGGCTATCTAAATTTCCTAATATAGTTTATTTTAAAAGACTGTCTTCACCTTGTGGAACTTAAGCCCTCTTTTGAACATCAGCTTACCAGAATTGTAATGGTTCATTTTTAAGCTACTGACTCTGCTCTTCTGACCATCATGTCTGTTTATGCCAGCAATAAGAATCCTTAAGACAATTGGATGTCATCACTTTAGTGAATAATTGACATGGAGCCTTATGTTAACATTTCAATGTAATTATTAGAAGTAATCTGAATTTAAAATTGTTGAGTTTTTGTTGTTTGTTTTTTCTTATTTAGAATGCTTAATAGAACTTGAACCGGTTCTGAGAACATTTGAAGACATAACTTTTCTTGAAGCTGTTATTCAGCTAAAAAAAACAAAGGTACATCTCCCTTTGACATTTTGTAACTTAGAATTATAAACAGCTGCATGTTACTCATGAAGTTTTAACTTAGTTTTCCAGTTACAGGCTAGAGGTGGGAGGTGGGAGAATTTACAAGGGCCATGATTACTACCGTTTCTTTGTCACTGATAGGCATTTCCATTTTATTCAAATGAGCCACCTTCAGATTTATCAATTTCAGAACTCTCGGCATGTCAGATTTGAATTTAGAATGTGTGCTCAGCCCCTTGAGTCACTCACTGTAGGTACATGTGATATGTGCTCGTCTATATTTACTTCTGCTAAGTGTTAGTGCCTGCAGGAGATGACTTCTTGCTCTTCCTTAACTTACGTGACTTTTCTGAAATTTATTGTCAAGTAAAACAGTAGCATTTATGTTATATTTAAGCCCCCAAATTGTACTTCTGTACTTTTATTTTGTTCTCCCACTCAAATACTTTACATTGCAGAGACTAAACTGTCTGAGATGTTCATGAGAATGACCGAGGGCAGTTGTGTGATCAGTGTAGCCTGCATGGATCAGCACAGCTGAGGATTTACGCAGAAGCTGTAGTTCCTTAGAACACAGTCAGCATAGGCTAGCACTTGCTAGGTTTCCTTAAGTTGCACTTCATATATGATAATAAAACTGCCAGCTAGCTAACTTGTAGTTCCTTGTTAACTTACAGTTAGCTTTCCCCTCCAGGTTTGCTGGGCTTGCTAGCATAACCTTTCATTGAAAGATTAGTATGTAAAAGAAACAACCACTCATAATCAAACTTAAAGATGCATCATAGCAATATTATACACAAGTTTAGGAGGATCTAAAAATGAATTCTATGACTTCTTTTCATAACTTCTCCAACTTCCCCATTTTTGGGGTAGCATACAGCCTTTTCCAGAGATACAACTTCTGAGACTGTTTCCTTTTGTCCTTTCTTTTCATATTTTCTCCTTACACGTTTCTCTTTTTCTCATCTCTTCCTAAGCAAAACTAGATGAGTAGGGACCTGGTGGTACCATCCTGTAATCCCATCTATTTGGATAGGCTAAGAGAGAAGGATTGCAGATTCAAGGTGTGCCTGGGCTACAGTGTGAGCTCAGAGCCAGCATGGGTAAGTTAGCTAGACCTGTCTCAAAATAAAAAATAAAAGGAGGGCGGGAACTAGGGGTATAGTTCAGTGGTTGATCATTAAATTCAAAAAGAAGAAGAAGAAAAGAAACAGGAAAGGAGGGGGATACAAAGCCTGCTGCCTTGGATATGAAGAGAAAGAGAACCACCCCACATCCCTTTTTTGTCTCCAGTTGAAACACTAGAGTCCTATATATACAACTTAATGTTTAAAAGTTTATCTTCCTAAGTATATGTTTTCAGATAGTTTAGTAAGCCCAGGATAGATTCATCATTGTTTTTATGTCACAGGATTAATTTTCACATGAAGTTGCAGTTGGAGGTTTTTGAAATTCTAGTTTCTTTAGATGAGATTATTGCAACATAGAAAAATTAGTAACTTACATAACAGTGAAACAATAAAATAGAAATTTAAAAGCCAATCATGATGGTGTGCCTCTAGTCCCAGCTACTCTAGAGATGGGGCACTAGAGTTGAGTTTGAAGCCAGGCCAGCCTGAGAAACATGAGCAACTTAATGAGATCCTGTCTTATACAAACACACACATACACATTTAATATTTTTCTATTTATAATGGCTTGTTTTATTTGCATTTTCTATATTTTTTAAATTCTTTTAACCAACTCTTACTATTTGAGTTTTTCCAAATAAATGTTTCCTATATCTTGAAAAATAAAAACTGAACCATAAAAGTTTTCTTTAATACCTCTTGTGTTTCTTCTTTGGGTATAGTTTATTAGTTCATAAACAATTTGAATTATCATACCTCATTAGTTATTAAAAAATAAAGCATCATTCATTAATTAAACAATATATTGTAAACATTTCAGTACAGGTAAGGAAGACTTTACATAACACACATAGCCAAAAAATAATTTGAAGATTCAGATAAAATTATACATGCATCAGGGTGCAGAGCTCAATAGTTTCTAAAGCTCTGAAGAACAATTAATATTATTCTACTTTAGACAGGAAAATTAGACTTAGCCATCTGTGGAAGTTTGCACTTATAATCACATCATTCCAGAAGCTGAGGCCGGTGGATTGCTCTGAGTTTGAAGCCAACATGGTCTGCATAGTAAATTCAGGCCAACATGACGCTGACTGATCATGGGTTGAGGCAGGGGCTAGACTTCCAAATCTGTTTTTAAATGGCATAGTAGTGATGACACAACTTATCTAAGCCTAGTTTGTGGAGCCAAAAGTAAATCGCATTAGCATAAAGTTACAGTATTGAAATAAACAAATCACCTATTTAGCAGCTATCTTGTATTGAATACCTGCAGGTAGTCTTAGGGCCCTTTTACATGTGTTACATGTAATTCTCCTTACAGTAACCCTACAAAATGGGTATCCTTATCTGTAATATATAAATAGGAAAAAAAATAATGTCCGCCTCCCCAATGCACATGCAAGCAACCCCAATTAAACTCAGTAGACTTTTTGTTTGTTTGTTTTGGAAATTTTTAAGACATGGAAGTAGGACAGGGGGCAAGATGAGAACAGAGGTCAAAGGGGAGTAGGAGGAACATAAAAGAGGGGCATGGAGTGATGACTGCGACCCAAATACATTATGTACATGTAGGGATAAGATAGTTTCATATCCTGGCACGCTAAAACTGACCATGACTCCTCCCCATCCATGTAACACACCACCACCTTTCCATTGTCCCAACCTTGGGTTCTTATCATACAGTAAAAATAGTAATAGGACTTAGAGCATAGTGCTTGACATATACTTTTGCTTAATAGCAATTATGGATAGCTAGAAGATACAGCAAAATGAATCACCTGCTTTTAACCAAAGACCTTATTATCTCAATCTTTAAACACTCCTGTTTGTAGGTATTGCTTCAAAGGTGACGCTGCAAGACTCTTGAGAGATAAAATTTACTGAAATCAACCAATTAATATGAGGCGGGATGAAGTCTGTTCCCTAAACATTTCTTGTTGTATACTGTCTCTACCCAATTAAGTTATATATTCACAAATGATTTAGATTTGTTTTCACTGATTTTTGGGTGAACAGAAAACATGTGAAGTAGATTATGCTTTACTTCTATAATGTCTAAGTCACTTTCTATTAAAGCACATACATGTGTGTGTTCTCTCCAGATTCAGAGTGCGTCCAGTACTATTCACTTATGTGATAAGAAAGTGGACTTATCAATGAACGTACCTGCAAGCCACCCTCCACAAGAGGTACAAATATACATCTGTTATAGCAAATTGACTGAGCAGAATCTTTAAAAAACCATGAAGTCTGACCCTTTTCTACAGATGGGAAACAAAAGTCCAGGGAGCATTTCTACTTTGTTAGGTAGCCATGACTGTCTCTAACCCCACTCTGCATTCTCCTCACATGCTCTAGGGCAGTACGCAGGTAAACCATTGGTGATAATGTCACCGCTGTTTCATACCACCCCTCCACCTCATAGTAAATAAGAGAAATTCCTGTTGTTCTCCTAGTATGTTTAATTAACATACTAATACATTCAAGAGAGCATGAAAGGGGCTGGAGAGATGGCTCAGAGGTTAAGAACACTGGTTGCTCTTCGGGAGGTCCCCAGTTCAATTCCCAGCAACCACACAGTGGCTCACAACCATCTGTAATAAGATCTCGTGCCCTCTTCTGGCCTACAGGCATACATGGAAGCAGAGTGCTGTATACATAATTAATAAATACGTAAAAATCTTTTTTTTAAAAAAAGGAGCATGAAGGCGAAGGCACAGCACATAGGGGGTTTACATTTGTTTACAGTGTGTGTTGTGCACGTGTGTATATGGGTGTGTACCAAAGGATAGCTTGCAGGAATCATTCTCTCTGTTGCTATATGGTTCCCAAGGATCCAATTGAGGAAGAAGCCCCTTTACACTGAAACACCTCACTGGCCCAATACATAGTTTCAGATCACTTTTATATAAACTATCTAATTTGATCTTGACTACATGCTAATTTTTGATGGAACCTGCAAGCCAGAGTGTTTCAATGCATTGTTGAAGGGCAGTAAGTAAGCTATTCCATGACAGAGCTAGGAGTGAAGATCTCCATGGCTTTTCCCAAGGATTTTTCATCCCTTCAGGGTGAAAGAATCTAAGAGCAAGCATTTGCTCCAAGTCAGAAGATTACCACATTTCAAATTCACTATTATAGCCACTGAACAGATCCTTGGATCGTGTAGGGTCTATAGTTATTTCCAGTACATACTATTACCCTAGCCCTTCCACTCGAGTTGATAAAGAAATTTATGTTCTACTACTCCATCCCCTCACCTTTACCGACCCCCACCCCCAGTTTACCCAGACCCTCTGCATGAGGGCAACAGTTTAGTAACCTCGTCTGGTTGTGGGACCCCTGGCAGTGAGACCAGGATCTATCCCTAGTAAATGAGTTAGTTGGCTTTTTCAAGACCATTCCATACGGTGGGATGCCTTGCTCAGCCTGGATGCTGGGGGTTGGGGGGTACCTTATTGACTCCTCATGGAAGGGGAGGAGTTGGGGGGTAGGAGGGCCCTGCAGCTGGGGTAACTGTGGTTGGTATGTAAAATGAATTTTAAAAATAAAATATATATTTTTAAAAAGAAATGAAATTTAGAGGTTGGAGATAAAGCTTAATGATAGAGTGCTCAGCATGTATGAGACCCTAGGTTTAATCCCTAGTAGAAATGGAGGCATTTGTGATGGCTTTTTATGCTACTTCTTTGGTTCTGAAAACTATAATTTATAGTAGTTCTGGGTCTTGTTTTTTAATAAGCCAAAGGCAGGTACAGTTTAAAAGCTGTAGCTATGTAACTTTAAGGATGCTACCTTTATATAAACTTGTATGTATACAACTCTCCTCAACCTGGTCCTCTGTTTACTTCAGGAATCGTGTGGCTCCTCTCTGCTCTCCAGAAATACCGGTTCTCCTGGAACCTCCAGGTCCCTGTCAGCTCCTCAAGACAAAGATTTTTTATCTGGTATGCCAGTTTCCTAATCAGAACGGTTACACAACTTTTCCACTTTCTTTCAAGGTCATGTCATTGGCAAATTGGTATGCATGAAACACATTTTTTCATTTGCATTCATGTTCATTTACTTTTTTCTAAGTAACAAGTCTATATATGTGAAAGTAGCAGTGGGATAATGAGCAAGTACATTTATATTGAAGTCATTCTGTGATCATGATGGAAAGGTTTTTTTTTTCTTAATCTCACAAGAACAAAGAGTAATGTTTCTAAGTTGCCATGGTAACTATATTTTAACTACAGGGAATAAGACACAGTCTTTACCTAGGACTTTTATAGCTGTGTGAGGGAGCCAGTCCTCCTTTCACAGATTCTGAACTCTCTGGATCACACAGCAAGTAGCTCGCTGATCCAAGACTCGATGAAAGCCAGGCTCGCTGTTGAACACTTTCATGTCACTCTGCCGTACAATGTCAGCATGGAAAACTTACTTCTGGTTAGAGGCTCACCTCTAGTTATGACAGATAGACATCCCACAAAAAAGAAGATTATGAGTCCAGAACAAAGAAACAAACAACAGTGAGCAATTTAGTTTGTTCGGTAATTAGAGTGAATAAGAAGAGATTAAAAATAAGGAAGATCACAGTCGTATCAAGAATGCCTAGGAACTGGAGAGACGGCTCAGTGGTAAAGAGCACTTATTAAACAAAAAAAGAAGAAGAAGAAGAAGAAGAAGAAGAAGAAGAAGAAGAAGAAGAAGAAGAAGAAGAAGAAGAAGAAGAAGAAGAAGCCGGGCGTTGGTGGCGCACGCCTTTAATCCCAGCACTTGGGAGGCAGAGGCAGGCGGATCTCTGTGAGTTCGAGGCCAGCCTGGTCTACAGAGCGAGTGCCAGGACAGCCTCCAGAACTACACAGAGAAACCCTGTCTCGAAAAAAAAAACAAAAACAAAAACAAAACAAAAAAAGAGCACTTATTGCTCTTCCAGAGGACCTAGATTCTATTCCCAGCACCCACACAGTGTCTCAGAACTGTCACAATTCCAGTTCCAAAGGATGTGCCACTCTATTCTGGCCTCCGTAAGCACCAAGCATACACAGTGCACTGATGTATACTCACAACAAAACACTTAAGCAGCTTTGTTTTTGGTTTGGTTTTTGGGTTTTTAGGGTTTTTTCTTTTTATTTTCTTTTATTTAAATTAGAAACAAGCTTGCTTCACATGTCAATCCCAGCTCCCTCTCTCTCCCCTCCTCCCCTGCCCCCCATCCAATCCCCATTCCATTCCCCAGGGAGGGTGAGGCCCTCCATGTGCTTTTGCTTTTTTAAGAAAAAGAATTTCTGCACTCAGCTAAGCTAATTCAGGCTTTTAAATTCAGTAGGAATTGATTCTTGGAGAAGGGTATAAAATAAGAATTTTAGCTCATCCTGTCTGGAATATATAGGATATTTTGAAATGTATTTCTATGTATTGTTTGTATGTGTGTGGGGTGACAGGGCAGCACACGGAGAGCCACACACGTCACAGTGCACATGTAGAGGTCAGAAGACAGCTTTTGGGAGTCAGTCATCTCCTTCCTCTGTGGGTTCTGGGAATCCAGTTCAGGTGCAGCAAGTGCTATGACCCACTGAGCCATCGTGCTGGCCCCGTGGAAGCTACGTGGAAATGGCCAGGAGACGTGGAGTAAGAAAGACAGTGCGCAGTGAAACGGGAGGGCGGTGTGAGACATTAGGCAATGCACAGATGTTCTGACTTCTCACTCGAGCTAAGAGAACAGATGGAGCCGCATAGTTGTTGAGCCAGGAAACCAGCACAGCTGCCACAACCAAGAACTGAAGTGGCCGTTAGCATTAAGTTGCATGATGATTACGATTTAAATGTTTTTATTTTTTGTTTGTCTAAGATACCATTAGTGCTTGTTGGGGTGATGTGCAGAGTGCTGAAGAGACAGTGTGTTCAATAATGACAGAAAGACAATTACATAAATTACTTGAAAGGAGAGGTAAACAGTTGGAGCCCTGGAATTTTTTTCTAGAGGACAAAGAAAACATGTCAAATATAGATTTGCTACACTTAAAATTCTATTTTTCTGACAAACATACATAAAACACACTTAAACTGGAAAAAGGAAGAGTTCACAGAGAAGAAGTATTGGGCTATGAGAAGAAAGGAAATTTTATGACTTATAATAAGTATAGAGTAACAAGCACTAACAGTGGTTAGGAAAAAAAAACTATTCTCTGTAAATGCATGTTACTCTAAAAAGTGTTTGTAGAGCTGGAGAGATGGCTGTGGGCCAAGTGATTTCAGCCAAGCCTACAACCTGAGTTTGATCATCAGGATTCATGTGGTAGAAAGGAGAGCTTCCTGCTCTGACCTTCAGACACACACGCACGCACGCGCGCGCGCGCGCACACACACACACACACACACACACACACACACGTAATTCAAAATATGTAACTTACTTGCAGAATTGAATTTCTGAAGTAGCTTCAATGACAGAGAAAAACCTAGGCCATTGGAGCCTACCTTCTGTGTGAGCCACCCGTTGCTATTTTACTAGGAATGTCTAATGAATACTGTAATGAAATGTTCTGTAGGAGGACCTCAAGATGACTCTTCAATAAAGTTGCATCACTGTCCTGGAAACCACAGCTGGGATGGCGCCGTTTCAGAATCCCACAGGGCAGCCCTCTGTGATCACAGACCCACCCTGTGCTCTTTGGCTATAATAAACCCACTCTTCGTTGAGAAAAGTTCAGGTAAGTATATGCTGTGAGATACACTGCAAATGCTGGTATTGGCTTTACACATACACACTGAGGGAATTCACCATATAATGAGCTTTCTTAGTTTTCATTCCCTATCCCAGTAAACATTTAAGTAGGAAAGCATTTCCAACCTAGTGCTGCCATATCTTAACAGGGCCAGGTGCACTCCAGGAATCTAACTAGGAAAGAAGTATTAAGAGGAAGCCTCACTTACTATCTTAGTCAAGGTGAAGCTATTTTTGTTTATCAACTGTGTCAGTATCCTTTATGTTTAAAAGGAAACAGAAAGTAAAGTCATTTTGCCCCACAACATAGCATATAAAAAATACAGTGTTCTCTCAGGAAGGTGGATGGGAGATAACACTCAAGCCTCTGAATACTCCTAGAAAATATAAGCATTTTCAAAAAATACTTTTTATACTGTCACCGTCATGTGGAAATGTCCACTCTGCTTATTCATTTTTATACAGAATTATACTCATTGCTTGTGTCCATCCTCAGTGTTGTAAATTGTCCATGCTTTGCTCTTCCACAGAACGCCTGCAACCTGGAATAGCCCAGCAGTGGATCCAGAGCAAGAGGGAGGACATTGTGAGCCAGATGACTGAAGCCTGCCTTAACCAGTCTCTGGATGCCCTTTTGTCCCGGGACTTGATCATGAAGGAGGACTATGAACTCGTTAGCACCAAACCAACAAGGACCTCAAAAGTCAGACAGTTACTAGACATCACTGACATCCAAGGAGAAGAATTTGCCAAAGTTATAGTACAGAAGTTGAAAGATAACAAGCAAATGGGACTTCAGCCTTACCCAGAAGTGCCTGTGGTTTCCAGAATACCATCTTCAAATTTCCTTCAAAATAAAAGCTTCTGAGTGAGTCCTTTCTGAGAGGAAAGTCAGTTTACAAATGGTTATTTATATGTCTGTTACCTGGATAATATTTGTATAAAAGCATGAGTATTAGTCACTTCCCTGAAGGTTTTTTGGAAGAGATAAGTATGTCTCCTTCCATAACATTGCAGTATTTTTTTAAATTAATATAAGTAAAACTTTTGCATTATGCCGTGTAGTTTTTTTATGTCAGTTTCATTACTTGAACCTTTCTTATGTAATAATTACATTTTTCTCGGATATACCAGTGCCTTAAGGTAGCCTTTGTTTCTGATGGAAGACATTTCCAAACTCACTTTATCTGCAGTCTTCATTATTCCTCTGAAATGCAGTTTGACTTTACATAGCAGCGACACAGTAGTCCCACCCTGAAATCCCGAGTTCAGATCTCCAGAGAGATTTACTCATTTTAACATTGTATTTACAAATTGTTGGGTTGTTTCAAGAAGAAAGGAGCAGTCTTGTTAACCCTGGCCAACTGTCCGCCTCTGTTTAGCCTCTGCTGTGTGAGCAGAGTGAACATCCCCTGTGCCCCTGACGGCCTGCTTCCTGCTCCTGTCTAGAGCATATGCTGACTGGGTAGAGGCCCTTCCTTGGTGCTGCTGTTTTCTCTGTAGCCCAGCGTGTTTTCGGCACTGAGGGTGCTGAGGGTTCAGCTTCCGTCGCGCACATCTGCCTCGTTCTGGTTGGTTAGCACACTGTAGCCGCGCTGCTCTTTTTTTTTTTTTTTTTTTTTCATTTTCTAAGCTGTTCACACCAACTTCACTACAAACAATAAAGATACAATGCAACATGAGTCCCTTTTCTTTTGGCTGCTAGCTTATGTCACTCAAGGAAACCTATAAGAAGTGATACCTTTTTCTGAAAACTGTTTAACAACGTTAGCAAAAAAGTGAGAAGCAGCATAAATCTGAAAGCAAAACTTGCGAGATGCACTACACTCAGAACCTGAAAAATATGAATAAAGAATAAAAGGACTTAGATGGCATTTAGGCAATGAAATATTCCCATTTGAAATAAGAATTTAAGCACCAGGGTTGGACAGATGTCTCAGCACTAGCTGCTCTTGTATAGGACAAAGGTTCGGTTCCCAGCACCCATATGACAGCTCACAACCATCAGTAATTCCAGTTCGGGTATCTAAACCCTCTTCTGGCCTCTACAGGCACCAGGCACATATACAGTACACTTACATGCAGGCAAAACTCATACCCATAAAATAAAAGGAAAAAATTAAACAATTTGGATTCCATTTTAAGATGGCATTAACACATAACCTTATAAGAAAAAATAAAAATTAATTGGAGTCATGAGTTGTCTGTTAAATTCTTTTTAAAATAAAAACTTAGGTACGATGGCACATACCTTGTATCCTAAAACTTTGGAAATTGAAAGAGACAGAGGAGTTCAGAGTCAACCTCAACTTCCTAACAAGTGCAAAGCCAGCATGGACTGTCTGAAATAAAAACAAACAATAAAAAAAGATTTAATTGCGGGGGGGAGATAGGGTTTTTTTTTTTAAAGATCGGTTTTACTCTTCAGCTTCCCCGTCTCCCTCTCCTATGTGTGTGTACTTAAAGTTACCTTTTAGACTAGTGATACCCTCAGTTGTGGCACATGCCTTTAATCCCAGCACTTGGGAAGCAGAGGCAGGTGGATCTCTGTGAGTTCGAGGCCAGCCTGGTATACAGAATGAGTTCCAGGACAGCCAAGGCTACACAGAGAAACCCTGTTTAGGAAAGAAACAAAGGGATACTGATGTCCTCAAATGGACTTTTGTACTGATATATGTAGAGAAGTTGAATTTTGCTCTGGGCTCACTATTTGCTACTGTCTATAACTCATAGTGTGTGAGCCCCTGTCTGTAGTTACATGCTTACCACCCACCCATACCCCCCCCCCGTGATTTACTGTAAGGAAGACACCTGTAATGTCACCCATTGTCACAGCCTTACAAACTCTGCAATAACATACGTACTGACCAATGAGACAGTGGTGTCAAGGATTAAGATGGATCTGCCATGGGCTCCTCCTTTCATAGAATCCTCATCTCAGCAGATGATTTCCACTGTGACCTGAACTTGATCTTTGCCTGTCTGTGTTTGGAGGGGAGGGGCAAGGCTACTGAGTATAACTAGTCAGCACAGAACAAGGCCTGGCGTAAAGTAGGCAGGCACTTTTTAAATAATGAATGATGAAATGAAAGCTGTAGAAGGGACAAGATGCTCCCTCCCTGTAAGTCCTACTTCCCAAAACCTATGCAAATACAGATAATGCTAAGTAGAGTTCTTTCTAAGTCAAAATTTTGTCTCATTTGAGTCACATAGTAGGGTTTTGTACTGTTTGGTTTGGGGGGGTTGTTTTTTTGTTTTGGTCTTTTGAGATAGGGTTTCTCTGTGGCTTTGAGGCTGTCCTGGAACTAGCTCTTGTAGACCAGGCTGGTCTCAAACTCACAGAGATCTATCTGCCTGCCTCTGCCTCTGCCTCCCAAGTGCTGGGATTAAAGGCGTGTGTCACCCGACTCCTGTTGGTTTTTAACCTTCTCGTTAAGTAAAGGACAATGGCTTATTTCTGTGTCAATTCTCTGTGCTCTTAATTTTAATCAGGCTCACTAAAGATTAATAGAATTTGAGCACAGAACTTCACAAACAATATGCAGCGAGAATTTTATAATTATTTGTAACTTTTATCTTGAAAAAAGAATTTCTACATAGGGAGGAAGGTACTGGTTTTTCTCTATGATATAATAATAAAGGTTTATAATATCCAAGCAAAATGACAGTGTAAAGCATTAAGTAAATTATAATAAAGACAATTCTTGAACATGCCATCCATCACTGAAATTGCAGAAGAAAATGTTAGGATCCAGTCACTCTAAAGGAGCAGTGATGGTCTCTCTAACTAGACAGAGCTAGATGGAGGTGGTGTCTTTGTGATGCTTTTTGTACCCTGCTACCTACAAATATAATCCAGAGACTGCATCACATGGGTTATAAAAAACATGACTTCATGACCTCTGTGTGTGGAGCTGAGGTCCAGGAATCAGTTTTAACAAACCATGTAAGCAGTTCTTATGGCTAACATGCAAGGCTGTTGTTTATATGGAACAAGCTATAAAATAATTTCTCCTTAGGCTCACAGATCTCTTCATGACATCTTTTTGCCACATTTGTCTTGAGAATGTGTAGTCTCTGAAGTAAGACTTGGATGGAAAACTTTAACTAATGCACTCACCTTACATTCCCACTGGACATGATGCAGTTTGGAAAGATCACTTAAACCATAGCATCCAGACCACATTCATTTCCATGACTCAGCTCTTTAAGAAGAGCTACAAAAGGGACAAACACTTCAGTCCTGGAAGCAAAGGAACCATGTTGATACAGGAAGAGCAGCATAAGGGAGGTTTTGTCTGTGTCTTTTTTTCTTTTTTTGATAGAAGTAAAGCTTTTTTATTTACATATTTTATTTACATATTTTTATTCTCTGAGCATTTCACACATACACAATAAAATACGTATGATCCCTTAGTCCCAGTTTCCCCTCTCCAGTTCCCACCATAACCCCAAACTTCCAATCTGTTAGCCTCTTGTCTTGTTTTTTGTTTCCCCCTAAAAATGATTAGGGCAGCCCATGGTGTGTAGGTGTGGACTTAATGGGAAACAGCATTGGAGTTGTTTCTAACACTGGCTGCATCCTCCAAGAAATATTCTCCCTCAAGCTGATTTTCATTTTTCTTCATTAATCTAAACACCAGCAGCATACTTATGACATACTACATTTTCTAATTTATGAAGAAAAGTTATGATCAATGGGAAAAGAATTAATAACCATTTATGTTGAGCCATGCTCATAAACATCTCTCAATTTTTAGAATATCCTATCATCTCTATAATGGTATTCCTTCTGTATATCATAGAGACCAGTTTCCAAATTGTCTTACTTTTCCCCTCCCTCAAATAAATTGTTTCTTTTTCATCTCAAGCACCCATATTCCTTGCAAAAGCAAAATTCCTTCACTTGGCCTGTGTGTGTATGTCTATTGATCTTTTCCCTGAAGAATAACTCTATCGACTCCTAACAATCCCTTTCTAAATTGTTTAAAGTCTAAAGAGCCTTGTTACTTAAAATTTAATGTCATGTAGTTAATGAATGAATTAAAATGGACAGCCAGGACATTTTTTTCTGTACTCTTACTCCATAAACAACTCTAGAACTAGGTTATTTTAAACCATTAGTTTATTCCATTGTATAGATGCACCAATGTTTACCTTATTTCCTGTTAATGGGTATTCTAATTTTTACAAGTTTCTGCTATTAGAAACAATACTGTCCTTCCAATGTAGACCATGGCCAAATTCATCTATAGCTTTTCAGAGAATGTCCTAGCACTGGTAAATACCGCTGTGACTTACTCAAAGCCTGGATTGGTCACATTTTTACACAATGTCAAGTTTGACCTGATTCCCTCAACCCCTGCTTAGATCCCTCCACCTATTCAGAATATGAAAAAAAAAATCAAAGAGCTAAAACTGGCAGCTTCAAACCCTCACAGTTAAAGAAGTTATGCTGAATGGTTTGGTGGCCACTGAGGTGTGCATATAGTTTTTACATTGGAAAAGATCATAGGCAAATGTGGCATCACTGGCTATGATGTTTAAAGACCAGTCTTTAACATCTGATTTTATTTGAGTTCTTATTTAAATGTTCTTGGACCATGTGTAATGAGACTGCTATCAGAATAAAATATAAGCTGTCAAAAAACAAACAAACGAGAAAACAAAACAGTACTACCCCAAATGGAGCACAGTCCTAAAAAAGTCACTTATAACCCCCCTCTAAAGCCCAGGAAACATCTCAGCACAGGAGACAGGAAATATGTAAGAACTAGACTATAGGTAAAAGGCTACAAAACATCATTCCCTAGACTGGGTGTAGCTACTATAATTAGTAACATGAACTGTAGTTACCTGAGCTGGGCCCCACAACCAACTCTATTAACAA